AATTTATGCTCACCCAGAAAGACCAGGCTTCTATAAATCTCTAACATCACATCTCTATATAAATTCTGCTGAGCAGGATTCAGGTATTTCCATTCCTCTTCAGAGAAATCAATGGCCACATCCCTAAATGTTAATGGTTCCTGAAATAAAAATGAATAAACACATATAACATCAACCTTATGWTCATGGTTGGCAGAGTTTTAATTTGACAAAAGTTGTAATAAATTGACAGTTTTAACTTGTCACAAGTTGTRATAAATTGATGATTTTAATTTGACATAAGTTGTAATGAGAGTTAGAAGAACTGGCTCTAACATAGGAGAGTGACCTCAAAATTCAATATACTTTTCAACAGAGTGGTATACTCTAATGTATTACCTATCTTTGAGGAAAGAAAATGCATTCAAAAGAGAATGAAATAAATACAAAATAAACAAGGAACAAAAACATCAGTCTATATACTACACTTCCATGAAATAAAATGCAAAATTAAGGCAAACATCAGAATATATATCTTAATTGTTATGTTTATATTTTATAAGATAAATTATGCATAATTCTCAGAAGAGAATTTTATAATGAATTAGAAGAGTGCTTCTCTATTTTAATGTGTACAACCATGAATTGAAGAATTTATTAAAGAAYAGACTGTGATTCTGTATTTCTGGGGTGCAGTCTAGGTTTGAATATGCATCAAGCTCTCTAGTGATGCAAATGCCAATGGTCCAAAGAAAGCTGATGAATATTACTGAAGTAGAACACTAAAGAAAAATATTGATCATAAATTCAAATTCAAATGTTTAAAGAATTTATGCATTTTATTATTATAGCATGTTGCAATAAGAATTCTTTCTGCATTCAAATATACACATAACAATACAAGAGTTTTTCATACCTTCATGCATAAAACTCAAAATAATCTATGAAGCACATGCCTATAATTCCAACATGGGAGGATAAGGCATGAAGATGGCAAGTTCAAAGCCATCCTCGGCAACTTAGTGAAGCATTAAGTAACTCAGCAAGATCCTGTCTCTAGATAAAATATAAAAAAGGGCTGAGGATATGAYTTAATATTTAAGCATCCCTGGTTCAATCCCTGGTAAGAAAAAAAATCTATGAAACCAGGAATGGTTTTAGTTTTTGAGGACATTTTTTTCAAACCTCCAGTATATAGTAGTTCCTTGGGTTTGCCCAAGTTTATCTGACCTATAATTTATCAAAAAAGTAATACAAAGGTTAAAATAAAGTGTGAAATTAAAAGAAATTWCAGAGCAGGGTGGTCAGTTATTTTAACTAAGAACGGAAATGGATACATGTTTAAAAAAAAAGCAGGGAAATCAGATTGATTGAACTGATTAAACACATGTGGAAAATGACTGCCACACTGCAAGTGTGTATCTGAGCATTCTGTTTCCCATGACCTCATGAAATGAAATGAAATCTCCATTCCTATCAGAGGTGAGGAAACATGTTTTCCTTCTCAAATCCCCTTCTTTGAACCAAATTTTAAATAATTAATTTGTATGAGATGAGAGTCCCCAATGGCAGGCAAAGTATCCCAACTGCTGCTGGGTAAGATTCAACTCCTTCAAGATATTAAACTATAAACAATGTGTTACGTGAACTCAAGGGAAAGTACCCACATGTCTTTTTTTTTTCTTTTTTTTTTTGCTTTGCTCTATTTATTTCTTTGAAGGGTGGGAAGGAGGTTAAAAAAAGAAAGTTTGTTATCTGCTTCAAAGAGCTTTTCCAAAGGAGGGGGGATTCATGTTCAATACACATCAACATGGATGAACACCGTTCTCATAGCTTTCATATCAATTTGAATTCAAGCAATTAATATGTGTAATATGTTTTCGGAAAACCAGTGTATTCATATGGAC